CATTGAAGAATAATCTTCAGATCTCGCAAGTTGCCTGTGGCAACACTGTTATGTCGTAGATTATCTTTAAAACTAATACTACGCACTTACATCTTTAAACGCGTTACCGAATTTACAAAATTTTGTACTATACTCCACTACCCATACCTACGTAGAGATGTAAAAAAAGTTTTTTTTTCAAATGTGAAAAAAAAACCCAAAAAAACGGGTTTTTCAAATCCGCTACAGTAAAGCATATTCTGTCAATAAATAACATCAATCTTAAAAAATTGAGTATTTTTTTAATATAAAATTTTAAGCAAAATGTATATTAATTAATAATAAAGTGAAATTTAAAATATATTACATTTTTTATTATTGATAATTTTGACCGAGACAAAAAAAATTGATTTCTTATTATTTGGTCCATTGCCTTTTCATTTTCAAATCCAACCGTAGTACTAAACCCATGGTGCTGCAGGTCTTTCTCTTCACTTTATCTTTATCTTTTTGTTAGTTACTATTTTTCCAAATTTTTAAGGGGGTTTTTTGAACTTATTTTCTTCCAAACTTCTCACTATCTCATTATTCCTCTTATTTCCATTTTTCAAGACTTCTTTCTTTCTACCCGGATCAAGCTGGCCTTTCGCTCTGGGAGAAAATGCCAGAAATGCTCCATAGCTATTAAAAGGAGCCCTGTACAAGGGACTAAGACCGTCGGGAGACTGCGATGCTACCACCCGTACCACGCACCTCCACAGCGGGGAGGCCTAATAGGTGGAACTTCACTTCCACGAGCCTCTTTACAGCCAACCCCATCACCACATTTCGGCCTTGTACAATTACTTATTTTATACAATGTAAACTATTTAATTTGAAAATATATTGATTTTGATTTTGATACTTGCCTTCCACGCGGCAGGTTTTGGTTCAATTCTCGATGGGTAAATACTTTTCTTTATTTTTATTTCTCTACACTTAATTTAACAAAAAATGTTTTTTTTTTATTGTCAAATTAATTTTATACAATGTGGCACTACAATAAACAAACATTTTCTCTTAAAAATACTCCATTTTAGAAAAAAATAATTTAAAAAGTTAAAAAGGAATTTTTGGGAGGGTAACGTTATTTTATCGAAACCCACGTCTAAAGTAATTGGGTAGCGGCGAGATACGATTTTTTATAATCGAAGAAACGTGTTATTTTTAAGTCGCGTTTATGTACTATGCTCCACACCTCAAAGTCCCACCTCGTGACCACGTACGGAACGCAGTCTTTTAAAAATTTGGCATTTAAGGCTTTTCAGGTTATGTATCTGTCAAAGTATAGTCAACGAAAGAAATAATATCATGTTTAGGCGTTAAAAATATATAAATCTTTATAACATTTCAATAACAATGGATGGTTTAAGAATTTAAGAATATAAATACTGCATTTATTGAAATTCTAAAGTGTATGGTGCCAAATAAGTAATATTTTTGTGCATTTGGTCCAAATATCTGATTTTCTCCATAAAATAATTTTAACTAAACGGCATTTATTTAAAAAAATCTAGCTTCTCTATTATGGAATAAGATTATCTGTATTAAAGGTAGGTTAATATATTATAACAAAAATATCATCTAATTTTGTAATTTTAAGGTTAGAAAAAATTATTTTGACCAAAATAAATAAGTATTTTGGATTATTTAAAAGACAGATATAGTATTTGAAAATGTGGTAGTTTTTCTTATCCAGCTTAAAGTGTACCTACATAAAGTTTTGTCAATAAAAATAGTTAAAAAGCTTTGACTGAATTTGATCTACATCGAAAAATCATTATAACTTTAATATTTTAATAAATCACATGTCAAATATTTTCACATTGCAAGTTTCTTTAAAAATTGTTTGTTTTCTTAAAATCTAACTTAAAGTAGGTATGCCGAGAGGTATGCACAAGTTTTGTCATTAGAAGTATAAAAGCTTCAATTTAATTTGAACCATATTCAACAAATATTTAGTATACCTATATTTATTTATGACCATATTAACACACTCTTCCAAATAATCCACTAATTTATTTTGGTCAAAATAGATTTTTCTAACCTTAAAATAAAAAATTAGATGATATTTTTTGTTCTAATACATTAACCTACCTTTGATACAGATATTCTTATTTCATAATAGATAAGTTAGATTTTTTTTTAATAAATCCTGTTTAGTTAAAACTATTTTATGGAGAAATGTAGACCCAATGCACAAAAATATCACTTATATTGCACCTTACAATTTGGAATTTTATTAAATGCAGTATTTATATTTCTAAATTCTTAAACCAACCATTATTATTGTGATACTATAAAGATTTATTAACTTTTAACGCTTTTAACATAAGCGGTAACACTATAAATATTATTTCTTTCATTGGCTATACTTTGACAGATACATAACCTGAAAAGCCTTAAATGCCAAATTTTCAAAAGACTGCGTTCCGTACGTGGTCACGTCACTTTGAGGTGTGGAGCATAGTACATTTTTGTGGATAAACGATTTTCTAGCTAGAGGTAAAAATATGTAAATTTTATAATTTATTAAGAAGTATGATTTTTTATAATAGAAAAACCGTTGTGTTAAGACGTAATTTGAAATTCTACATTTTCGGCCAGAAAACTATAATTTAGTACAAGATATAAAAGGAAAATAAAACAAAAGATTTTATTTGGTGCATAATATCCACTGGATATAAACCCCACTCTAATTTTTTTTCTATTAATCTTTTTCTTTTTATATTAACGCGTCCATTTTTTATTTTACACGACATGTTTATATACTGTTAGCAGAAGCCTACGCTCTGTTTTTTTAAACATCATTAAAATTACCCAAAGAACTAGATTATTTATGTTTTGAAAAAAACTTTAGGTAAAATTTCATACATTTTAAACTTTACATTTTGAACTTTACATGCGATTATCTTTAAAATGGATGGCAAAAAAATATAAGAAACTTTTTTTTGTAGAGCGTTCAATATATCCAAAGTTTAGTTCATTAATATGCCACTACCAAGGTAGAAAATTCCAACAACAAAAAAAATTATTTTTTTCACGTGTTATTTAAATAGAAAATAGATACCAGCGATTAGACACCTCTTAATGTTAATATTAAGGGCTGTCCTTTGGAGAGGCTCATTTTTACATCTTCCTGTAAGTAGGTACTATCGCTAACAAAAAAAACTCATACAGCTTAAAAATCTAGTGTTCCTGATTTTCTATCATTTCGTTGGAGTAATTATGGCTTTTAACATGATACGTCACATTTGAAAGGTCTAAAATTAAACTCGCAAAGTTAGGTTGATGTTTGAAAAAAAAATAATATTTCGTCATCCCTCTGTTTCTGTCAATTACTGCCCGCAAACGGCAAAGCATGGAAGTCGCCGTCTTGCTTTATCTCGTTCCAAATGGCTTCAATGGCTTGCCAGAGTTCGTCTGCATTGTTTGGTTAAAAATGTTAAAAAAGTCATAATGGATGTGACATAGCTCGATGTCAGCTTGACATTGACGGAAAAGTTTTATTCACACAGCCACAATATAGCTGTATGAGTTTTTTTTGTTAGCGATAGTATTTGCCTATTTATTCATTATATTATAAATTTTGTATGGATCTGAAAAAATATTTAATTAAATTTTTATTTTGTTGGTGTAAAAGTACAATTTTTACGTTCTTTTTGTTTAAGTTTTTCAATATTGTAGGTAGGTATGCTGGTTTATGTCATTTTTTGCAGGGATTTTGTTTATGTGGCATTCCAGTATTATATGGAATACATTTTCTTCCTCCCCGCATTTACAGAGATGGTTATTCTCTATTCCTATTATATGAAGATAAGTTTTAAATAATCCATGTTCAGACCTTAAACGTACATATAATGGTTGTTAGATGTCTTCTGTTTTTGATTTTATTTGTGTGAAACCATGGTTGTATAATGGTTGTTAGATGTATAATGGTTGTTAGATGTGTTTTTGATTTTATTTGTGTGAAACCATGGTTTTATTGGAAAGTTTTCTTTAATTTGATTGTAGGTACCATTTTCCTTTATATGTTGATATTTTTTCCATTTTTATTCCATGATTTTATAATTTGTTTCTTTAAGTCAGGCATAATTTCATACATATCGGGTTTGCATTTGCAGGGGAACGTTAAGGTTGATTCCAATTTTAGCCAGGCGATCTGCTTTTTCATTTCCCTTAATATCGTTGTGGCCTGGTATCTATCGAAGTTGCAGAGCCATTTTTATTTGCTGTAGGTAGTTATAAGTTTCTTTGTTGCCAGAGCCAAATAGTTATCTTTTGCATTGTAGTTAGTGTTTGTTAGTATTTGCAACGCGCTAAGAGAATCGGATAAAAGTAGTTTTTTTTAGTCCCCTTATATTACATATTGCTGCTATTTCTGCGGTACAAATCTGAAGGTTGGTAACCTTGCCGCAAAATGAATTTTAAAGTCGGGACTGTAGACTCCGATACCCGTTTTTGTGTTCTTGGATACATCTGTGTATATGATATTGAATTTTCTTTGTTTAAATTTTTCGATTACTAACATGAACTTTAGATTGTTATTGGGATAGTTTTTAATAAGTTTTAGATCCATAAGATCGATTTCTGCAAATTGGTGAGAATATTTAATTTTGAAGCAATGTCTTCTGCCTACGTTGATGTACTTCTTTAGGAGGGGGAGGACAGATTTATAAATATAGAACATCTTTTGTGTTAAATATAAAAATTTGTTTTTTATTATTGTATATTTTATAAAACAATACTAATTTTGTAATAAGCTTTATGCACAATTAAAATATTGTTCTAAAATTGTTTACGATTTTTCCTATAAACCAAAGCTGATATTTTATGCAAAATGCGCTACAGTACAGTACAACTTTAATCTTTGGTACAACATTTTACTTACTTTTTAAAGTAAGCGAATTATTATATATTAACATATTTATTATAATATACTCGTTCAAGTTAAGATCTTAAACTTTTTTATTTTGTTTCAGGCTAATTTCCAAAATATTTTTCTTTCATGATGTCAAGGAATAGCGATTCTTAAATACCGTAATTTTGAAATTCAGGGAACATTGAAGCAAGCATGCGCAGCTCGATCGAAGGGGAAGAACCCCCGCACTCGTGTGCCGTGCCCTCCGCCCCTGGCTCGCGAAAAAAGAGGTTCCCTACCCGCTGGTCCCTGCGACATTTGATCTATTCTAGTCCAATTTTGAACAGAAGGAGAAATCAAAGTGCATCTGGTCCTTCAAAGAACACAACAAAAACCAGTAAGTGTACAAATATTTGCATATGCATAGATGAAGGTTAGCACTGGTTAGCACCGGTTAGCACTTAAACTTGTTCTTGCTAGAGGGTGGTAATAAAGTTCGTTTATTCCACCAGAAATTACAATATTTACAAATGTATTAATACTACTGGGTAAATATTAAGCTATAAACACCTTGATAAGTAAATAATATTAAGTATGTATCTATCTATATGAATTAAAAATATAAGGTTAAGGCCTTAATGTTATCGCCCTTTTACTAGAATTTTATTTATTTGCTTAGTTATTTTATCAGCAATATAATTAATTTAAATTTGTCTGATTTTAATGCACCAATTTATTAACCATCTCACATTGACAATGTTGCAGATTACATATTAGTAAAAGTAGCATGTTATGCATAAATAAAGCTTTAATAATATCCATGACGTATTGTTTGTTTTATATAATAATCAATATTTAATTGTTTTTGTTTTGAAAACAAAAGATTTTGTCTCAATTTACTCTTTAATAAACCATTGTATTATGCATAAAGACTATCAATAATTATTATAAACAACTGCGAATATGAGTTTGAACTACACAAAATAAAATAAAATAGTTTTTTGTAATTTTATGGTACAAATGAAGGGGACAATGCAAGAAGTGCCTTAGTGACAAAGGTGATTCTAAGATATTGCGGTTTAAAGGTTTATTTTTGATTATGAAATATTGCACAAAATATTATGATCAAAATGTGTGTAGTATTGTATTCCTTGTAGAAAGTGGATTGGACTTTGATGATTAAAAAAGGAAAAACGTTTTGTTATATCCAAAAAATATTTTTAATAATTTGGGATTTTGTTTTGGGAAAGATGTTTATTATACATAAACATAATATAAATTACAAGTAACGCTTACAGAAAAAGATAAGCAACACTTATCTTAAAGCAAAACTAAGAACATAATTAGAAGGCTGGCCATTCATAAACAGCGTCGGCCTCTTATAACTTATGAATCAATGGCATCATTTTTCTGGATTATATTTTAAGAGAAGGTTAGAGCTGAACATTCAGTTTTCAATGATTTAACGTGCTTTGCAAGATGGGTTAATTTTTAGATGATTACACTAGTTTACAAGAATTTCCTCATTGAACGTAAACTACTTTTTCTAAGGTAAAATTTTCCTGGTTTAGCTCTAGATTTCAAGATTCGCATGAAATCTCGAAAAAATGCAATGTTACAGAACATTAAATTAAAATTTTCAGCTAAAATTGTTATTTAATATTAAATAATCCCAAATTTTTATAGCTATACAAAGGGAAGTGTAATACAAATTTTAAGGTGTAAAACTTATAAATTACATTAGTGCTTTGGTCGTTATGACCAAAAACAGGTAAAAAAAATCGTTTTTTTTTTGTAAATTTAAAAAAAAATCAACTTTGGTCCAATGTAAATAAAAAAAAACTTTGAAATATAAAAAGTTGGTCCCCCTATATTCTAGAGAATTTAATTACAAAAATATTAAGCATACGTACGTCAACATACGATGAGATTTAGATTTTATACGGTCAATTTTTTAAAGTGATGTAATGTAAGTACTTTTTTACATAAATTAAATTTAATAAAAGAAATAAAATTGTAGGGTGCCAGGAAGTGGTTATTTAGATGTATTTATTTGACATTTCAGTTGTCATTTTGAATATAAATGTATATATTGATTTTAGTTGTCAAAAGATTTTAAATATTTATTTTTTATAATGTTTGTTTGTTTTTGTTATTGTGTTTTGTTGTTATTGTGTTTAAAATGACAAGTAGGAAATTTGCATGTAAAAATGACCCAGATTTGTTTTGTTTTATATGCGGACACTATATTATTGAAAAAAAAAGGTAGAAAAATAACACCAAACCTAAAGATTGCATATTTACATTATTTTGGTTTTGAAATAAGAAATGAAGAGAAATCTTGGACACCAAGTTTAATTTGTCCAAATTGCAACATAACGTTGAAAAGTTGGATGTCTGGAAAAAACGTTTATTTGAGTTTTGGCTGTCCAGTTTTATGGGCAGAACCAGTGGATCACTTAGAATGTTACTTTTGTGTGATAAATATTACTGGTATAAACTCAAAAAACAGAAGATCTCTTTGGTATCCAGATGTTACTTCAGCAAAAAAACAGTTCTACATGATGAAAATCTAACAAAACCAAAACATCCTTTAACTTATAAGTCATTAATGACAAATCAAACAAAAACGAACCTAGTTTTGATACGTCTTTTTCTGAAAATGAATTCGATGCAGAAAAAAACATGATGTAACACAAGCCGAATTATCAAGACATTTCCATTGGTTAAGGCGCGATGCTAGCACTTTACTATCCCTTTTGGACAACTTAAGGTCCCTAATTAAATCATTTGGGCTTATTAAGGCTTATTTGTTGAAAAAGAGAAACGGATCCAATGCAGTACAAAAAAAAGTGAACACCACACATTCCTCATTATAAATCACTAAAATAAACAAAATCAAAAATTAAAAATAAATGTTTATGAAAGTAAATTAAATAAAAAAATAAAATAAATAAGAAAAAAATTTAAAAAAACAGTTTTTTCCCTTATTAAATCTAAAAAAATTGTAATATTATAAATGATAAAAAATTTTATTGTTCAAAAAATGTACCGTATATAATCTAAATCTCATTATATATTGACGTACGTATGCTTAAAATTTTCATAATTAAATTCTCTAGAATATAGGGGGACTAACTTTTTATATTCCAAAATATTTTTTGATATACAGTGGACCAAAGTTGAAAAAATTGAAAAAAAATCGGAAAATAGTGATTTTTTCTTACTTATTTTTGGTCATGGTGACAAAACCACTAATGCGATTTAGGAGCTTTACATCTTAAAATTTGTATTAAACTTCAGTCATTACAGCTATAAAGATTTGGGATTGATTTGATATCAAATAAAATTTTAGCTGCATATTTGTGATTGAATATTCTGTAACAGTGCATTTTTGCGAGATTTCATGTATAACCCGAAATCTAGAGCTAAACCAGAAAAACTACTATTATTTTAGGAATCAGTACAAAATTTTACCTTAAAAAAAGTGGTTTTGGTTAAATGAGGAACAACTTTAACAAATTTTGTAAACTAGTGTTATCATTGATTAATATGTATTAAAACTCCTTCACTCAACGTTCATAATCATAGGCCAGCGTGGGTTTGCCGCGAAGTTTACGACTCTGACCAACTTTGTAAAGTTTCATGTAAATGGGATCGACAAGGTTGTGAGGTTAGGATGAAGTCAATGTAAGATAACAAAATAAAGAAGCGGTCTTAACGTAAATATTGTCTATTATTTTTGTGGCATTTAAACACTGTTTCCACAAATCAAACTTTTTCGGGAATCGATTAAATTTAATGTTTTTATTTAAAGGGTTTTTCTTGGACTGGTTGTCCGAATTGCATCCAAATATGCCACACCGCATTTTAATAAATGCAAATGGCACTATACAATCTAAAACACAAACAAAACAAGTTAACGCAACACAAAAACAATAATAAACAAACCGGTTAACCCAACGCAATAACAATAATTTGAACGCTGAAAAGTAATTCGAACCTTACCGAACACAAAAACGACAAGTTAAACAAAAAGTAGAGCAATTTAACATCCAAAAGCATCGCAAAAACAAGAATTTTAGCAGTAGATAATTAAAAAGCACGTTAAAGATTTAAAAACACTCATCAAGTGACGTCATTAAGCCCCGCCCAACATGCGCACCATCCTATCTTAAGGTGTATGTATCTTGGTTTTTAATCACAGACACAAATTATCAGGATTAACACAGCTTCTTCTTGCACTGCACTGTGGGGTAATGGCCTTTAGCTTAATTAAAAGCTATTTGGCCAGCTCATTGTGTTTTTTGAAAACTTAAGCCTCATTCAGAACCTCGTAATTAGTGAAAAAAATTAGTGGTTTCAATTATACTTATAATTAACACAAAGCGATCATTCACAATGCACAAAATTAACATCTAAAATGAAGGAAATTTGCTAAAAGATTGTCCATTTTTCTTAACCTGACATAAACAATATTAATTATATTAAAATAATATTTTGTAGAACCATTACCATTAATATTTATATAACTCTACCTTCACTGGCACATCTTCAAACTTTTTGCTTTTGACATAAAATATCCGCGCACATGCGCAAAGCCGCTTTCCAATTATAATTAGTGGTAAAAGTTAGAAGTTTGCATACTTTTTCCACTAATTGAAAAATACTACCACTAATTTTTTGGTTGTGAACAACACTGTGTATATTCATAAGACAAACTTTTACTAATTACGAGGTTCTGAATGAGGCTTAAGCACGGGACGCTAAATGCCACTGGCGGCTCCTCTTACTGCGCATGATAGCTTAATTGACAAATGTGCCGCGATTGAAATTGTTAAAGGCACGTTAGTTACGTTATAATTATAATCCATAGATAGCTCAGATGGTAGGGCGGTCGCTTGGCATGCGAGAGGTCCCGGGTTCGATACTAAGAGGCTGTCGAACTATTTTTATTTTTTTATTTCATAAATTTGTTGTTTCTTTGTTAAACAGTGTTCGGTTGGGTTGGGTTGGTTGGTTTGTTTTAGTTTTATCGTAACATAAAATGTACTAGAAGTTGTCGAACTTTTTTTATTTCATAAATTTGTTGTTCCTTTGTTAAAAAGTGTTTTATTTTTATCGTAACATAAATTTGCCCATTTTAGTTGGGTTTTTTGCTCAATGGGGCGGGGGGGGGGGGGGCCAATGGGGCGGGGTCGGTTGGGTTGTGTTGTTGAGTTTGGGTTTGTTTGGTTTTATGACGTAACTAACGTGCCTTTAACATTTCGAATCGCGGCACATTTGTCAATTAAGCGATCATGCGCAGTAAGAGGAGCCGCCAGTGGCATTTAGCGTCTCGTCAAAAATTTGAAAATTTGCCAGTGAAGGTAAGGTTTTATAAAATTATTGTAATGGTTGTACAAATTATTATTTTAATATAATTAATATTGTTTATGTCAGGTTAAGAAGAATGGACAATCTTCTAGCAAATTAATTTTAGATGTTAAGTTTGCGCATTGTGAATGATCGCTTTGTGTTAATTATAAGTATAATTTAAACCACTAATTTTTTCCACTAATTACGAGGTTCTGAATGAGGCTTTAATATGATCAAGGGTCTTAATTAACACAGCTTAATCGCTAATTTGCTTAGATATAACCTAATTTAAATAATGTGGACTAAACATGTTGCATTGCCTCTGTCAAAATGATGACTTAGGAACTTCTTGCATTTAAAACCAGGTAAACATTAAAGCAAATGAAAACTAAGGCACTTAGAAACATATTTCTGCCACTCTGTAAATACCACCTAAAAGCTAACGTGAAACACTCTTTGTTGGTGCCACAATGTAAATTTCATTGAAAATGTGAACTTAGGCACATCTTGCATTGACCCCTTCAAATATTTTTTAGTTTGAGTTGCCATTTTTTTGGGAAACCTGGTTTCATATTGGAAATCATCTGGAAATATCAAGATATATTACAGGGCTCCCACACCTCCTAAAACTCATAAAATTGCCATAAATCTCCTAAAACTTCTAAAAATTAAATATAAGTAGGCCAACTTGTAATGTAATTAAATTAAATTTAGTTATCCAGAGGCGGCGCTTGGGTATCTAAACTAGATATTTAAAAATAAAATCTGGATACTTTATAAGTTTCTTTCTCGTGTATTTTTTCTCTATCTTGTTTAATGTTCAAGAAACAAATTAGTCTGTACAAAAATTCAATAACTGCTTACAATTCTGAAGCTATATAACCTCACTTTATACTTTTAACAATTGAAGGGGTTAGAATAAAAAGGGTATAAGTAACATTTTCATTTTTTGGAGATATTTGAAGTTAAAGTTATGTTACCATAAAAAAGTGAAGAATTTTGTTTAGTAATGTTTTTCTACTGGATAATAGAGGTCCCTAGAAGTATGAAAATTACTTAAATCCTTTTCATTTCGATACGTCGGTACCTTATCTTTCACAAAACGAACTTATCTCCTAAATTAAAGAAATTGCACTTATACCCTTTCTATTCTAACCCCTTCAATTGTAATTATAATTGTAAGTACGTTTTATGTATTGTTTAACAAATGAAACTGTGCCTTGAACTCAGCCTCATGACCATGGAGCCTACACAAGGAGCCTGAACTTAATAGGGGAAATTGACAAATCCTGCCCTCTAAATTGCACAAATTAACACCAGCGCCCTCTTATCTTAGGAAGATTCTTGTTTACATGAAGTTCGGACTCCTTGTGTAGGCTCCATGCTTATGACATAAATAACTATTCTTCTTATTTTTGCGACTAATAAATTTTCCCGATTAAAATCTGAGACACTGTATATTTATTGTGTTCTAAATTAAGACCTTTATACACAAAAAAATACATATATTGTATTATTTTTTGAAAATAAGACACAATTAGCGTTAAACTGACAGATATATAACCTTAATTATTTGTACATAGTACATAAATAAAGGGACCATAAACAATAATTGATTTTACACAATTCAAAATCTTAAAAATACCGAAAATCGGTTTCCAATATTTATTAAAGAAGATTTAACAAACATATTTTTTATAGACAAAGAAGCCCTAGAAGGAAGCACGTCATCGAAAGTCCACCAAGTCGAAGTTCATCAAAATGCCAGCCGAAGCTCCTCGTCATCTGGCGAAAAACGAAAAGTAAGTCGAGCAAATACATGTATACAAATCTAATAAAGGGTTTACTAATAAATTTTTAGTTATGCTTAATACGTCAATTATTGTATAGTAAGCAATGTGGCAAGTCTCACAAATTGGTAAAAATAAAGTCCGTCCAGAGCAATATCACCAAATTTGTTAAAAAAATATTGGTCACTGCAATACCGACAATTTTACACATCAACCAGTAAATAATATAATACTATGAAGTGCTTTTCGAGTAGATCAAACAGAACTCAAATTTCGACAACAAGTTATATGGTTACTTCACTGCTTTTTTGATAATATATTTAGATTTAGCAATTAAAAATACAACTTTTTTGTTTATTGCATTTTTCTCTATCTTGCTTAATTTTTAACAAAGATTTCCATAATTTTCTAAGGAGCGAGCAATTTAACGAATTTGATTTTTTTCATGAAAATTAAACAATAAGAGAAAATAAAAAAGTTCTATTTTTGATTCCCTAATATAAAAATTATATTAAACTTATAAAAAACCAGTAACGTATCCAAATTTTATTTTTAAATATCTAGTTGGAATGCCCCAGCGTTGTCTCTGGATTAGCTTAATTAAATTAAGCCCTTTGATTTTTACAAAAAAGCTAAACAGTTTTATTATATTCGCCCAAGGAGTTTTTGAAATATTTTTTAATTACTTTATCTCGAAACCGAAGCTTTAAAACCAGTTCATTTAAACTTTTATTCTACTTTTTGCGAGTTCTATCGATGACTAAATTTTTTCGATTAAAATCTAAAAAACCCTGTTTAAAATTTTTATTAGCAAGCCCATTGAAAAGATTTAAACTAATTTTATTTTTTTTTAGAGTCACACGCCAATGAAGAGAATAGAATGCCCGGTATGCCTATTGGAACTCCCTCCAGAAAGATTTTGCGAGCTGAACGCTTGCGGCCATCGAGCCTGTGACAGTTGCTTTAAAGAGTATCTAAGAGTGGAAATAACCGAATCCAGAGTTTGCATCAATTGTCCGGAATGCTTCGAACCGATGCATCCCAATGGTAAGTTCTTGCAAACAGTTTTATATATATTTTTATTTAACGGTAGATCACAGCAGTTTAAAAAAAGTTTTACTGAACTAATTAAGATAAACTGAGGAGCATCCGTGCAAAACCGGCTAAATCCATTTTATTCAGTTTTTGTTTTTTTTTGATTTCGCATCTTAAGTTAATTTCTATTGAGAACCAAGATAATTCGGTTTAAACCCGACTATATCCATGTTAAAATCACATTAAAAATGTAGCTTTAAGAGCAAAACCGGCCAAATCCACGTTTTTATAGCAAACCCGGCTATATCCAATAAATAATAATCATGAGCATGTGGCTTCGATATGTCGATATGTCGATACTAAAATTTGTTCTGTTTTTTCATGTTTTCACTAAATTTATTTTTTTAATATTTTTGAATAATAAAGGGTTTTTCACATTTTATTCGTAGGTTTTTGAGCAAAACCGGCTATATACAAAACATTTTTTTGAAATTTTGGCCTTAATATAAAGTTTTTGAAAACGAAAGTATGTCTTATAAATCAAGTATCATAAAGCCCACAAAACTCAAGTTTGCTTTTTTTGTTATCTGTAAAGGCCAGGAAACCAAGAGTTTTTGCCATTTTCCCAACATTTTATTAAAGTGGATATAGCCGGTTTTGCACGGATTCTCCTCAATTATGATGAGCGTTACCACACAGCGATTTTTAAAAACTTAAAATTGCTTTAAAAATTTCCATTTTTATTTTTTTTTAATCTAATTTGGGCAAGGATACGAAGGTCAAAGGAAAATTAGGTAATTTTTTAATTACCACTTAATTCCATACAAACAACTTTCTCCGTACAAAACTTTTTATTGCATCGTTGAATTTTTTTACTTTAACATTTTTAAACGTTATTTTTTTATATCAAACCGTTAAAAAGATATTCAAAAGAATTTATACCTAAGTACTAGTGTAATTTTAAAAGTATTTTAAGACTTATGTATATTTAAACTTTTTTCTTAAAATCACTAAAATTACCTCTGTATTGATCACCCCATGTATACACAGGAGTCCAAACCCTAAAAAATCTATATAGGAGGGATAATTATTAATTAAGCAACTAATTAACCACAATTTCGTTTACGTAGAATTTCTACGGTAGAAATAACATTTTGTCCACATTGGAAAAACCTAACTTTTATGTATAATTTTTCGCTGTGTCTAGTCTCACGCTAGCGTGAACGCAATTTTATTCTTATTCTCACGCTAAAGTCAAAATAATTTTAATTTTATTCTCACGCATTATTTTATTTAATTTTACTTTTTAGGTGTCGTGTCATTTGATTTGATTATTATTTGATTATGCAAATGTAATAAAATTTACTACCTATTAATAAAATCGAGACTCTTTTACTGCAGCCAAACCAACCCAAACTCAACAACACAACCCAACCGACCCCGCCCCATTGGCCCCCCCCGCCCCATTGAGCAAAAAACCCAACTAAAATGGGCAAATTTATGTTACGATAAAAATAAAACACTTTAACAAAGGAACAACAAATTTATGAAATAAAAAAAGTTCGACAACTTCTGGTAGATTTTATGTTACGATAAAACTAAAACAAATTAACCAACCCAACCCAACGGAACACTGTTTAACAAAGAAACAACAAATTTATGAAATAAAAAAATAAAAAAAGTTCGTGGAATCGAACCCGGGACCTCTCGCATGCCAATAGGGTGGAACTTAAAACCCAAATTTTGAAATTTTTGTCGTAATAGCAAAATTTATTTTCCTTTTTTAAACTTAATGCCAACAATATTTTTTTTTAGTTTTTTTATTAACATTTACCGGTGCCGCTAGGCTCCTGAAATTTAAAATATAGTCAATGGGGAGAATAATTTTTAAGACACACAATACATAACTTTTTGCATAATAATGCATCCCAGACAATAAAATGACAATAATACAAATGTGACAGACTGTCACTGACAGTTTAAATCTGTCACGTATTGATCAAGTTAAGCAGTTTTATACCTATTGTGATTGTGTATATGGTTATAAGTTATATCTTATAACTTATAACCATAAATAATGGCTGCCAAAGTGCCAAAAACAAGAAGTGCGGTGAAATGTCCTGTATTTGGTGAGCCAAAGTCATTAAAAAAAGACCATCGTGTTTTACCTACCTATGAGGATGTAATTAAGTATTACTTGTGGATTCAGATTGACTTAAATCATCAAATTGGAATCGTAATCCTACTGTTGCAGAAATTTCACCAGTAATTGTGGAAACTTTAAGAAAAATTTGGCAACAAACCTCTATTCCAGTAGTTTCCCACAACCGTATTATGAAAATGCTTAAGGACTACCACGGTAAATGTAGAAATTTGAAGAAGTGTATCAAGTCTAAAAAGGGTAATACTGCTTTTAAAATTAAATTAAACAAATTTCGGGAGTCTGCAAAAAGAATTTTCAACATAAGTGCCTGCAAATGTAAGGATTTTGTCTTATGTCATTGCATTAGAACGATCCGAGTTCCAAAAGAAGAACGAGAATTTCTTATGGATCAGAGAAATGAAAGAAGGATGGCAATGAGTGGAATAGATAAGGAAAGAACAAGAAAAAATTAGCGAATAGCCCAAAGAATAGAGAAGGAAACTTTAAGAAAACAAAAGAGTCTTGTAAAAAGTTGTGAAGAAGAAAAGATGTCAGAAGAAACATCATGCGATGAAAATGATGACCAAAGTGTGTATTTCCAGGAACATGATTTAAGTTCAGAATATGATTTCGATTATAACAACCAACCGCCGACATCAGCTACAAATGATTCAAGAAAAACTCGAACAAAAAGGTATCATCTACCTTCACTTGCGTTGGCATGTGAAAGAACGGGTGTATCTGACAGAGCGGCAGCCATCATAGCGAGTGCTACATTAGAAGACATGGGCCTTATTTCTAATGAAAACAAAGAAAATGTTATTGACAGGATGACTCTCAGAAGGCAAAGACAAAAGAGACGAAATAAGCTGAAAGATGGTGAAAGAAGACAAAGTTTAATTTTGGAAGGATTGTATTTCGACGGACGAAAAGACCAAACAATGAGTCACCAAAAGAAGGGGAAGAAAAACTATCGAAAAATAATCAAAGAGGAACATGTCGTATTAGTACAGGAACCAGGTACAAAGTATATTGGCCATATATCCCCAAAGTCTTCGTCTGCTGACTGTACTGCAAGTGCAATTTTAGAGTATCTACGAAGCAATAACATTGCTACTCTAAATTTAAAGGCAATTGGAAGCGACGGAACTGCAGTTAACACAGGACGCAAAGGTGGAATCATTAGAATACTTGAATCCCGGCTAAGAAAACCTTTACAATGGCTAATTTGCTTACTTCATGCCAATGAGCTCCCATTAAGATACTTATTTCAACAATTAGATGGAACTACTACAGGTCCTAGAGGATTTGTTGGCCCAATAGGAAAGCAGCTTGAACACTGTGAGGAGATGGAGGTTGTACGATATGAAAGAATTAAAATGCAATTACCAGAAGTTGATTTTAAAGATATTAGTACAGATCAAAAGTACTTATACGAAATATCTCAAGCAGTGTCAAGCGGCGTATTTCCAGCAGACCTTGCCAAGAAAAACCCTGGAAAAATGGCACATTCCCGTTGGTTGACGACTGCCAATAGAATATTGCGTTTTTATGTGTCTTGTGAAAATCCCTGCAATTTTATTAAAAGTTGTTGCAAATTATGTTGCTAAAGTTTATGCTCCCATGTGGTTTAACATAAAAATGAAACCCTCTTGCAAGGATGGATCTAAACACTTGTGGCAGTTAATAAGTTATTCTAGATATCTCGAGGAGGAGCATCTAAAGATCATTGATCCAGTTCTTCAGCGGAATTCATTTTTTGGGCACCATGAAAATATCCTCCTGGCCATGCTTACCGACCCTCGCAGACATATTCGAGAACTTGGTCTTAGACGAATTATGAAGGCAAGGTCCAAACCACAAACCAAAACTGTTCGACAGTTCGAAGTTCCTACAATCAACTTTAAAGCAGCTGACTACGTAGAATTGATTGATTGGAGCTATTGTCAACTAACGGAACCTCCTGTGTTGTCTAATTTGACAAACGAGGAAATAAACAACATGGTTAAAACAGGAGGGACACCTGTTATTGATTTCCCACGTTTCCCTTGTCATTCTCAGTCAGTGGAACGATGTGTGAAAATTGTTACTGAAGCTGCTGCAGCTGTGTCAGGAGCAGAAGCTAGAGATGGTTTCATCTTGGCAAAATTATTGTCCCGTAATATAATGCCAGTGTTTAATACAAAGAAAGACTATAAAACCAATAAGTAAAAAAAATGTTTTATTTTTGGTGTCTCAGCGGCACCGGAAAATCATGTTGTAGATTTAATTTTCTGATAATATATGCTTAAGAAAGTAAAAAGGAAAATACTTTTCACTATTACACTTCAATATATATAAAACAAAATTCTACCTATGTTTTTAAGTTCCACCCTAATGCCAAGCGCCCGCCCTACCATCGGAGGAGCCATCTAGCTTGTTGTCAAATATTAAATGCTCTGAGAACAAAAACGGATTATAATTAGTGACGTCACCGCGTGAGAATAAGAATAAAATTGCGTTCACGCTAGCGTGAGACTAGACACAGTGATAATTTTTTGTTGAAACGTCCCGCTTTATAAGGTTATGTAACAAGGTTAGAATCTAATGTTATAAAAAACGTGGGATTTACGTATTGTAAAATGTTGGAAATACGTAAAATGTATGTATTATAAAACGGAAATACGTGGGATTTTGTATTATACAACGTTGATGGATGTAACTCTATAGGAGTGCAACTACAGCAATGTAATATGAATTTATTTGTTGTGTATCGACCATGATACTACATAAGTATGTAGTATCATGGTATCGACCTATCGATCTCAAACATGTAAAACTCAACAATTTCTAAATACACTGGACCAGCTACTTGAAACACAAAAAAATA